ATATATATATATATATATATGTATGTATATGGCAAAGAGGACAGAAACCATCAGAATGACTTTCATGTGCATATTATGCTGATAAATGGTTACTAAGGTGTCCTTCGGTTTTTTATTTTTTAGCGGTTTTCCCCGAACCTGACCCTATATGTCTATATGTTTAGGTATGTATCAATGTATGCCTATATACATATATATCAGAGATTGAATTATGTTGTTTTAATCCAGGTATCAAACACAGGGGTGAAGAACAAGGTTCCTTCAATAGGAAAGGCACACTTGAATCTGGCTGAATTTGCTTCTTTTCTCCAAGAAAAAGAATTTCAGCTCAACATTCCTCTCATCATTTCATGTGGATCCACAGATCCTCAACTCTCTCTCCATGTATGTACCATAACATAATCTTACTTATGATAAAGATGTCTGTGCAAATTAATCTGTCTGTAATAGATCGTGAAGGTTCTTGTTTGGAAGGGTTTTCTTATAGATGGAAGGATCGTGTTTTTTAATTGAGAGGGACAAGTGTGGAAAAAAAAAACTTGGCTTTCTGCATTAAGCTCCCCCTTAGAAATTTACTGAATAACTATTTTTTGTATCATTAAGTCATTACCAAACAATCATGTATAGTCAACCGAATAAGCTGTGAGCCTCATTAAATTCATTAAGCTGCTAACAGACATGCCTTTAATCTCTTATATGTGCATTCTTAGTCTTTGAGGCATATGGTGATGCAGATATCACTTGGTTTGAAGGAGATGAGAGCCGAGTCAATGCAGAGTCAAAGTCAAACATCGGAAACTTCATCGGAAGACCATTCCGCACTTAAAGCAGGGTTAAGAAAAGTTAACATCTTTAAGGAGTATGTGTCGATTAAAAGAGGTAAAAAAGCCGCTCATGTAGATGATCATGAAACCAGGAGTGATGACGGTGATGTTTCCAATCTTGATGAATCTGGAGAAGGTATTCGGAAGTCGTTTAGCTATGGCACGTTGGCATATGCAAATTGGAGCGGAGGGTCTCTTTTTGAGGACGATGTTTACTATCGTAACCACAAATCGGATGCCGATTGCTCGCCAGAAGAGGATTCGACTGCTTCGGTTTCTGAAACGTACGTAGTTCAGAATCACAGACGTAGCATTTTACCATGGAAGAAGAGGAAATTGAATTTCAGATCACCAAAAGCTAAGGGTGAGCCATTGTTAAAGAAGGGTTATGGTGAAGAAGGCGGAGATGACATCGACTTTGACCGCCGGCAACTCAGCTCCGATGAATCTCTTCTTGGGGTGAAATCTAAGTCCGATGAAGACTCATGCGTGAACCGACGTTCGGTATCTGAGTTTGGGGACGATAGTTTTACTGTCGGGAATTGGGAACCGAGGGATATAATCAGTCGTGATGGGTGTATGAAGCTTCAGACACATGTCTTCTTTGCTTCCATCGATCAACGGAGTGAGCAGGCGGCCGGAGAGGGTGCTTGTACCGCCCTCGTGGCGGTGATTGCTGATTGGTTCCAAAACAATCGCGATCTCATGCCAATTAAGTCGCAATTCGATTCTCTCATCAGAGAAGGATCATCAGAGTGGAGGAGCCTCTGCGATGACGAAATTTACATGGTCCGCTTTCCCGACAAGCATTTTGATCTCGAAACTGTCCTTGAAGCCAAGCTACGCCCTCTCGCCGTAATCCCAGGAAAATCCTTTGTCGGTTTTTTCCATCCCGATGAAGCCGACGAGGGTAGTTTTGACTTTTTGCATGGAGCAATGTCGTTTGATAACATGTGGGACGAAATTAGTCGTGAATCAGAGGCTTCTAGCAATGGCGAAGCTAAGGTTTACATAGTGAGCTGGAACGACCACTTCTTCGTGTTGAAAGTTGACTCAGAGGCATACTACATTATCGACACTTTAGGAGAACGGCTATTCGAAGGGTGCAATCAAGCTTATATCTTGAAATTTGATCAAAACTCAGCAATATTCAAACTGCCCGCCTCTGCTTCCAGTGAGCGGAATCCGGCAGCTGAACAACTTGGCGATTCCGAGGGCTCCGTGGAAAAAACGACAGAGGAAAACGACATTATTTGCTGCGGGAAAGAGTCTTGTAAGGAGTATATCAAGAATTTCTTGGCTGCCATTCCTATAAGGGAACTGCAAGCAGATATCAAGAAAGGTTTGGTTTCTTCTTCTACTCCACTTCATCACAGGCTACAAATCGAATTTCACTACACGCGGTCACCACCACCGGCACCGGCCGCTGTGGATGGTGATCCGGTGACTGCCACATCAGCACCGGCAACTGTGGTCGTTGCTACATAGAGGAAATGTGAGTTTGTAGGGCTAAAGTCTTGAACTTTGTTGTCTAAGGTTCTTGTTGTTTACTGTTTTAAGAGTAAAAATCATAATTTTCTTGAATGTTTCTAGGGGTATATATGTAAATGGGGTTTAAAGTCTTTGACTTTATGTGTTGACTTGTAAAAACCAAACTGTCTATATGTCTAACTTCTGATCTTTAATCTATTTAATGAAATCTTTTTTATGGTGTAATGACTTGTACCGTTATATAAGCCTGTTCCACCTTGTTTCATAGGACGGGGATGGAACACGTTTGTTCTACTATGTTCTTGTATGTTTCACATAAAAGTCCTATCAAACATAAAACAATGATTCTTATTCTGTTCTATCATTTTCAATGTACTAAAAGCACACTTAAAAAAAGGCCTACCCTTTTCATTTCTCAACTTTCTTGCTTCAATGGTGAGTTCTTTTTCATGCTATAATGACTTGTACTTCATGCATCAACAATTCGTACATTAAGCATATAGTCCAAAAAGGCTATTACCCTTGTAAGTTTTCAAGACATTCTTCAACTTTTCGGTTCCAAAAGGTGTGGTTAGTGTCTGTATTCCCTCCATTTTGTCGATATATGATTTCAGTTCAAAACTTTTATGCATTAAAAGTTGCACGTTAATTTATAGCTCGAAAAAAGACACCTTTTTGAGCTCCCAATATGTTATTCAACTTTAAAGGTTGTGGGTAATGCCCATATGATCACAAGAAGCAACTTTTGGATTCCAAATTCCAAATTGAGGGCAATTGGAATTTCTAGGGTTCTTGATTTTGGTGATGATTGATATTAATGGGTATGGAGATATGTTAAAGTTTGGGTGTAAAGTGAGCATTTTACTTGAGATGTTGGTGATTGTGCATGTGGAAAGATTCTTTCACTTTTGTATGGGGAAAAATCCCAAGCAACCTCCCATTTTGATTCTTTTGTGCCATTTTTGTCAATTGATGTGTTGAAGAACAAGTTCTTTTTGGTAACCTGGTCAATCTATGAGTATTGACCAATCATTCGGGAGACGATAAATGGTCTTTTTAAGTCATCACATGTGAATCTCCATGACCACAAGAGCTTTGATGATTTAAGACCATTTATGGTCTCCCAGATGATTTGGAACAGATAACACGTATTTATAAGAGGTTTGAAACCTAATTGGACTTTCGTACTGATTTATAGAGGGATGCTATCTTTCTTGGTGGAGAGAGTAGATCCAAGGCAAAAAGGGAATCTCGAGATTGGATCTAGACCGTAGAATCATTTGTATGGTGCTGAAACATGATTTTATACTTAACGACTATGAGTAGCTAACAATTGAGATACATAACATATCATGCCCTGAGCCACCGCCCTCTTCGCCCCAACGCTAGGGCCACCCTTGTGGTAACGTCTGGACTTTAACCAAGGAAAGAGATTTCCACTACATCCTGAGTCTTAACCGGTGTGGAACAATCAATGCCAAAAACCTGTCAAGCTATGAATCAAATCGAATATGATCACTTTTGATTGATTTAAGACAATCTGGTCAAAAGTTCACAAACGAATTGATTCATTTTGATTTACGATTTCTAAATCAAACATAATAAAGTTGAGAATAATTCATTTGGTGAAATTTGAGTAAAAGATTGATTATCTGCAACTTCTACCTGTTCCTTGGAATCAGATGTGAGGAGGCATCTTAGATCTGACTCAGAGGCTGAGGCTGAGGCCGAGGCTAACGAAAAAGTGTAATATGAAACAATATTTATTTACTAAAATGATTAAATTTTATTTACTCGAAAAATGTACACAATCATTATAGACATACGAGTCATCATCGACCCGTTACACTCGAACCATATAACATGAGACAAAACCAGAACCGACACGTAGCAAGCCATTGACAATCTCGAACACAATAGACACGTGATGATCTATAAATACATATGTAGACGTAAAAACGAACTCAACTGTTGGCCACTCCCTCGGAGTCGAAGAAGCCAATGCTGAAATCAAACTTGATGCATGTCAGCTCGTTTTTGTTACCGTCTTGCATCTTCAACGAAAGTGTGTATGAACCCTGTATTTGTATTCATCAGATCACACTTCATCTTTTTGGATGCGTTTGGTATTCAAGACATAACAACATTCAGCTTTTGGTATGACATAACTGGACAGGACAAAACAGATGAAACGACCAATTTATCCTTAACAAGTCGTTTATATATTTTGATTAATTATGTAATTTATTAAATTATAATAAAATAAATATTTTTTGTAACAAAATACATCATTAGAAAGTTTTCGTCGAACACGTACCAAACGCAGCCGTTTATCTCCACAAGATAAAGAATTTGTTTTGAGAAATACTTACAGGGGGAGCGAATGCGGGTAAGAATTGCGAGTGAGAGATTGCAAAGTCACCGGCAGGAACAGGGCAAGATGTTTTGTCACAGAGGTCGCCCGTCTCACTATACACACCCCATCCAAAGTAAGCAACATCGATCACCACTTTCCCTCCAGATTTTGGTTTCTCTGAATTACAAAATCAATGTAAATGTGCCTAATATTGTAACAGCATTTGTAAGCTTATTTACCAAAAAAGTGGGACCCACGAGGTCCATGGACAAACAAAACAAGATTCATGTGCAGTTACACGCAGAATGTGGCTTTTTTTTTTGTCCGGAGCTTTTTCACTATCTGGCCAAAAAGCTCCCATTTTTCGAAGCAGGGGAATAAGTGTCGAGTATTTACATTTGCAACGATGAAACCAATTGATCAAGAGGGATATCGACATTCATGTATAGTTGTTTTCTAATGGGGTTTCAGCACTTGTAATATCTTTTGGTTCATTTTAGCTGATGGCAACATGTGAGGGATAAAACCCTTGTTTCCGTATATCACTCGTGGATGTAAAGGAAACAACTGATTTTCGGTGAAAAATTAAGTTTATGAAGGAGTCAAAGCATGGCCATTCTGTATGCATTTCAGAAACCCATGTTATTCTTTAAGTTCAGATTTAGGGGCCATTTACCAAATGTTTATTGGGTAAGTGTTTACTGGATGTCATTTGCCTTACCGGATGAGCATAAAACAAGGACTAAGAATCTTACCTGATAAGAGCCGTAACATGGTTCAAGAATCTTACCCGGTAAGAGGCATAACATTGTTCAAGAATCTTACTGGTAAGAGGCATGACATGGTTCAAGAGTCTTACACAGTTAGAGGCATGACATGGTTCAAGAATCTTATCCGGTAAGCGTTTACCGGGTAAAAACATGTATCAACAATCCATTTCGATGGCCAAGAATGTTACAAATAAGGTAAGTAGAGGTGATGACTCTTGCAGGTAAGCGCTTACCTAATAAGCGCTTGGTAAACGGCCCTTTAGTTGTTCCAAATGACTCTTGTTACACTCTACGTCTTAAATCTTGAACTCAGAAACAGTAAAACAACCAAAATAGATAAAATTACGAGCAGTGCATCTTGCAAAGCAAATCCAAGTATGGATGCAAAAAGTTCAACCTCTGTTGTTAATTAACAAAAAAGAAACCTACCTGTATATGCAGAAATAGTGAAGGAGGTCTCTGTGCCTCTGGTTATTGGGTCAGGAGTGATCACAACTCCACTGACCTTGATGGCATACTCTTTCTTCTTATCTGCATATGTATTATCATTAAAACGTTAATATTCCACTAAAACACACAACTATAAACAAGTATCTAACTGGAGAGCAAGACTCCATGTCACATTAAAGTGTTCAGCCCATAAACTTTAACCAACTCGTAAAAAGATCATTGATTTCAAAAGCAGAAGGAGATATGATAAAACTCGAACAAGACTTGAAACTTCATACTCCCCCCATTCCACATGAAGGAGATATGCTTTGATGCCAAACGATTTCCTTATAACCTCCAAATTAAGTTAATTTCAACTTCTGAATAAGTCATTGAACTAATGATCTGATGCATTAGCAGTGGTGCATCAATGGATTTGACCGCAAAAAGTGTTGGTTTTGAGATTCTATTAGAAGGCTAGAAATTACTAGAGATAACTACTACTTATTGCTTTCAACGCGAGTGAACTCTCTCTATTCTTAATGCAATTTCGCCCCCACCGTAAGTGCTTTGGGATTTGACGAATCGCTTCTCAAGATACAATGAAGCAATGTATGTGGATTGACTATCAACACCGCACTAGTGATGATTATCCCGGTTGAACTATTGAGGGGTTAAGGATTTCAAGAAGCCTAAAAAGTGCAATTCTATAGCAAGACACTCTTAGGTTAATCTGGTATATGAAAAGTAGTCATTTTTGGTGTGTAAGGTAGATATATATAGGTTTATGTGACAGCCCTTCAAACTGCTGCAATTTCACGGTTTATGTGACAGTTTCTAGGATTCACGATGGTTTGAGCCGTCGCAACTATTCCAACAGTCACCATAAAAGCCAACTGTCGCTAACTACCAACTTGAAGCGCCGTATCTGTTGATCCAGACACAACTGTCACTTTGGTAGCGTTTGGTACACAGACATGATTGGACACGACAAAACTGGACAAGACAAGAGGGTAGGACTGTATAGGACTGAACTGGACATGACAAGTGTATGTCTGGTGTTTGGTACGACTACGACTGGACGAGACAGAACTAGACAAGTTATCCCCAAAAGTTATTTCATGATTTTTAAGATTACATAACAGTTATAACCAACACAAATAAAGTAAATAATTAAATAATTTAATTTATAAATATTTTTACACAATTTTCATATAAATGAATACACATATATATAATGGTAACAAATTTCAATGAAATTTTTTATATAATTGATGGTAGTAATAGCGGTGGTGGAGGTGTTGGTGGCCGACGGTAGTAGTGGCGATGGGCGGGTGGTGGTCGGTGGCCGACGGTGGTTATGGAGGTAGAGGTAGTGGTGGTTGGTGGACGACAGTGGTTATAGAGGATGTGAAGATGGTGGATCGTGGTGGTGGTGGCGATTGACAACGGTGGAGGAGGTAGTTGTGGCTGATGTGGTGAAGATAGTGATGGTGGTGGTTATGGTTATGGTGGAGGTGAGGTGGCAATGGACGGTGGTAATCGATGGTCGACGGTGGTTGTGGAGGTCGTGAAGGAGGAGTTGAAGGTGGCCAACGGTGGTAGTGGAGTTGGTCGGTGGTGGTTGTAGAGGTGGCAATGGACATAGGTGGTCAGTGGTCGATGATGGTTGTGGAGGTCATGGAGGACGTTGTTGCGGTATGTAGAAGGAGTTGGAGGTGGGCAATGGTGGTAGTGTTGGTGGTCGGTGGCTGATGGTGGTTGTAAAGGTGGCAATAGACGGTGGTTGTGGAAGTGGTGAAGGAGGTTGTAAAGGTGGCAATAGACGGTGGTTGTGGAAGTGGTGAAGGAGGTTGTTGTAGTAGAGGAGAAGTTGGAGGTGGCGAACGGTGGTGGTGGTCGGTGGTCGACTATGGTAGAGGTGGCGATAGACGATGGTGGACAGTGGTTGTGGAGGCGGCCGAAACTAGCGGTGATGACCATTAAAACAAATACCATATTAAGCTTATATATCAAACTAGGGCAGATTAATAATATTTTAGTTTATGTTTCATTCTTGTTCCACCTATTTTGCTAGAACAAGAAAAAACTTATTTTGTTTCATGTTGTCCAACTTTGTCATAGTTCTTGTCCTTGTCTCATGTCATGCCAAATATGAAACAGTGAATTTGGTTTTGCCATAGATGTCTTGTCCTATCCCGTCTGGTCCATGTACCAAGCACAACCTTAACGAACCAGTTTTGAAACGTCACAACAGTTCCAAAGTGCGCCATCATTGTGGAGCTCCATCATTTCTAATATATTAAATTAATATATAGAAGGATTAAGGGTGCGTTGCACCCTTGTGGAGCCCCTGTCCTTTGCACTCAGCTAGTTGCCTTCTTAGCCACCAGCCCTTCAAGTTGCCTATCTCATTCATATAGGAAGTACTACTTTCAGATATCTTTTATCATTTCTAATATATTAATTAATATATGGAAGAATGTTTCCACTTAGGTTACATTACATTCTTTCTCTTGTATGTGAGACAAGGTGAAACCTAACGAAATGAGCTTTTTTTCCCTAAAGACTCAGGACCCAGAATAAATAAAGGGTTGTTTACTAAACGTTTACCCGGTAAGTATTTATAGGGTAATTTTTCTAACCGGATGAACATGTAAAGGACCAAGAATCTTACCCGGTAATAGCGATGATAAGGATGGAGAGTCTTTTCGGGTAAGTGAGGGTGACGACTCTTACCCGGGTAAATTGTTGTATATGATACGTTTTGATGTACTATAATCTAATCCCATAAAATAAATTATAGTGTTGACTCCTAACATTAAGCACTACTTACCGGGTAAGCATTGAGGTGAAAAGCCCTCAAGACTTAGAATATTATTTTGAAAATTTCCAAACAAAAAGGACATGGTTTGCTGAGCCATCCAAACAAGCTAAGGATACGACAATTGCTGGTGTAAAATTAGCAACTAAATCCATATCGATTCGGGAATTGAGAAAACCTAGGTTTAATATCAAATCAGATGACTACTTCCCAAATCCAAGATCAAGTATGTGCAGATTTCCAATCCAACACTCTCGGAACAAAACCAAAAACTAAAAGCTCAAAAAAACCAAAAATCTGAATAACAATGTATCATAAAATCGAAATCAGCAAGTGATTCGACGATCTATCACATCAAAACATGCAGAATTTGAGATGCTTAAATCGCAGAAAACTTGAACCGGAAGTAAAAAAACTCACTGCAGTATTTGAAATCAGTGGCGTAGATGGAAGGTGCGATGATGAAGAGAGAATAAAGAAGCACGATGAAGATCTTGCTTTGAATTCCTTCCATTGGATTCTTCAATCTGAGAGTGAGATGAACAAAAAGCGATAATGTCATCAGTAGACAGACTAGAGATGATATTTGTTGTACGTAGCTTAAAAAGGTTTATTTGCTATTTGGTCCTCAATATTTAGAGTTAATATAATTTCTGCCCCACGGGTTTATTTGCTATTTGCTTCTTTTTTTTTCTTTTTTCTTTTTTGAAGTAACAACAATTAAGAAAAAAGTTCCAAGACGTCAATAAGTACAATTATTGTTACTGTGATTTATATTTTGCTTTGAAAATGGTCCATAATCACTAACTCCGTTAAAATTATTTGTTAAGTAACAACATTTTGATCTTTTCACCCTTAATTACTATTTTCCTATTAAAAAAATAAATTATATTAATATATTATATATCAATACATATACAGACACTCCCGATCCCATTGATTTTACTGATGACCCTCACCCCCTCCCTTTCTTTTCCCACTGAGCATCGTTGCACCACCTCCATCATCCCTCTTCCATGAACCACCTGTGAAGTTTTTGCGTTTGGATCGAAGGGATGTAGATTTATGGTTGAATACGATGAATCAGTCAAATCACTGTTGATATTGTTGAAGATGAAAAAACAGTCAAAGGGTTGTTGGTTTCTTGGGGGCAAATAGAAAATCATCAACGAGAAATTCTTCTGTGTGAATAATGTCTGAAGCCATCAAAGATTCAAAGCATAACCGATCGATTGTAGAGGCTTGAAGCTAACGAAGAAACATCTCGTTTTTTTCACAATAACGCCACTAGTTCATCAATGGGTGTGGCATCAAAAGGTTTATTTTGTTGTCTGATTGGGATTTGGCAAATGTCCATCGAAAGCTTTTGTTCACAATAGTGCCCCTGGTTTTTTACTCTAATTGGGATTTTGCCAATATGATACATTGCATTTTAATGTCATCTAACTCCTCTCGTTTAGGTTGAATTTTGATTTAGGTTTTATATTTGGAATTGATTTAGGTTTCAGATTAAAAGAACGGAAAATGTAATTTAGAGCTGGAACAAGAGAGAACAGATAACAAAGATCTGTGATATGCATAAATAAAATACGAGAAAACAACAGAGAGAAACAACGCTATAGACTAAAACGAAACATCCTCGAACCGTAGAAAAAACCAAAAACGACATGTTATAAATATGGTAAAATAAACCGAACAAAATATTAATTACAATTATACCCTTGGGTTTTTTAGTTTGATTGAAGCATTGGGCAAGCAAGAACCGGGTTCTTCCCAAATAGAAGAAAAGAACTAATATATATGCTTTGGTTGACTCGGATGATTACGAATATTACCTTTTACTCCAGGGCTTTTTGGTAATTGTACAAAAAGAAATTTCACAAAAAACCCTTTTTAGATCTTCCATTAAAAAAAAACTTTTTGTTTGGAGATCATAAAAAAAATATATATATAATAATAATTAACACAAAATTTTATATGATAATTAATTGTAAGTACTTGAAAAATCAAAATAAATGAATTGCTTTTGAATTTGAATAATTATTCCCAAGAAAAAGAACAAGAAATTATTTGCAAAAATACTATACAAATGTATCAATCCGACTATCGTAAAGTTAGTCGGATTAATAAGATCGATTCAGTTTCGAACCAATCAACTATGTGTCATTGTGAGCGGGACGACTTCGGCCAACGGGGTCGCGAGAGGTGTCGGAATCGGAGATGTTCGACAATTCGGACACGTCGGGTTCAGCCGCAGCCACGGATCAACACACTTGACGTGAAAAAGATGACCGCAATCCGGAAGTTGTCTAAGCAAGTCTCTCCCTTTATAATCCGCTAAACAAATCGAACAACATGAAGAGCCCGAGTCTTTTCGTTTGGTCTTGACATCAGAATAAACCACAACTGGGTAGCTCAATAGGGTCGCCTCATCAAGACCCATGTCCACCGTGCAATGGGATGAGTCGGGTTGTCTGTTGATCATGCCGCCACCGCTCCTCCGCCGCCGGAGATTAGAAGGTGGTGACGAGGGTTGTATACTTCTTGTACAATAGTAAGAAGCCAAGGTGATGGTTATGATGAGTAAAAGTATGCCGAATGAGATTCCGATACCGTACCCAAAACCACCGATGTTTTGTGAGCCAAGAAAGCCACCGGAGTCGGTCGCCGGAGCCGCCGTGGTGTTCATGTTTTGATCAGGGAAATATGAGAATGGGGTTTTGGTGGGCCATTTTTGTGGGTTGTAAGGAAGGGAGGTTGATGGAAAGGTCAACGGTTAGCGTATATATGATGGGGATGGATGTGTACAAGGCAAGTGAGATTGGAAAATAATTTATACAAAATATATTAAAAAATGAGGGGGTGAAGTGTCATTTCTCTAACTAATCATTACTAAACAATAAATAAATCTTATAAAATAAGTTATTATAATATCATCAAACATCAATAAATATATATATATATATATATATATATATGGAGAGGGAGAGAGAGAGAGAGAGAGAGGTGGAAGTTCAAACGAGAACACCTTCATTTTATAAAAAACGCAATAACATTCTCATCACATGTGATAATATGCGTGAGGGGATCTTGTGATGTGCGGACGACGTGTTCTACGACTAAGGTCGCGTCAAAGGTTGTATGAGTCTATGATTTAACATCACATGTGATGGTCTTGATGGATTATGGTATCATATCAACAACAATCTTATTACATGTGATAATACTTATGAATGGTCTTAGTGGTGTAAGGACGACTTGGCCCACAACCAATATTGCATTGAAAATCGTCTGCGTCTCTGATTTGGTATCATATGTGTATCATATGTGATGGAATAATAATATCACATGTGATTGTCTATATTAAAAAAGTGTTCTTGCTTTCTCATAAAATGAATGTATTATCGTTTTAACCTTTCCCTATATACACACACATATACCATTTAATTCTAACAAAATATATAAACTAATTTAACGTCCAGTTTAATAAATATTTGATTTTATTTTGTTTTCTTAATTTAAAGTCATGGTTATAATTGAGAGTGTAAATGATGCGAGTCGAGTTCAAGTATCAACATATTCAACTCGAACTCGATAACCATTTCTCAAATTCAAGGTCGAACCCGATTTAAAAACTTGCGAGTAGTTAAAAACTAAACTCTACTCGCACTCGATTGCAACTTTTTAAACTTGAACTCGAACTCGAACTCAGGCTCATTTGAAGCTCGAACAAAACTCAAACTCTACTCGAATAAAGTTCGAACTCGAATCAAGCTTACCCGTTGAAATTTATGAAATTTTAAGGTTTTTTTCTTATAAATTATATAACTTAAATGTGTTCTCTTAAATTTTAAAAAACTAAAGATATGATCCTCAAACTTTTTTATAAAAAAAAACAAAGTTACAAACATCATATTTTACCATCTCTCTTTTAATATGAGACAACTTCATCAACACTTCTATGGTTTTTTTTTTTTTTTTTTTTTTTTTTTTTGTATTTTTCAATTATGATTTTAATTAAAAAAATATTGATTAGTTTTTTATTATTAAAAATGTAAAATATTGTTCAAATATCTAAAAATACAAGACATTTATAAAACTAATTATATTTTTAAGACTAAATGATGTATAAAAAAATCGAGTCTCTAACGAGTTTTTTGAGTCTAGTATTGGGTAACTCGACTTGACTCGTTAATATGTTGAGTCGAGTTCAAGTTTAAGTCGAGCCTATTGGAGTCGAGTGGTGACCGAGTCGATCTCGAGTATTTCGCTAGTTGTCTCGTATTATTTACACATCTAGTTATAATAAATGAACCTCATCATCTTCCATATATATTTTAATCATAATTAATGAATCAAAATAATTGTTCATATAAGTGGAAAAACCCCGATAAAAGAACATAAAATAACTTTTATTTAGCGTAATTTTTTACTACCATTAAAGAAAGTGACCAAATCCGGTTATATTTGCAAACTATAATGACCATCTTGTTATTCGGAACTGCAGGGACGATAGGTGTTATTTTCAACAAACCACAAGGACCAAATTGTAGTTTACTCTTTAATAAAAATTATTTATTATTTTCAATTTGTATTTAAATTCATTTTTACTAAAATAAATAAATCAATTTAAAAAGAGATTCGTTTGAAAAACCTCAGAAAACCGTTATAAAATGGATCATAAATAATCCAAAAAATTGATAATATTTAATTTGAGAAAAGGTTTTGTTTGGAATCAAGAAGCATAAAAAAAGGAGGGTGGTATTAATTGCAAGTTATGTCCACGTTCATCCACAAATCCCTCCGACTTAAATTGTCTTTCATTTTCTCTACAATAATATGTTATAAAGTATTTAATAAAAACTTTTAAATATCATTTCTTACATATAAAATACTGTTTATTGATGTATATTACTTAATATTCAATATTACAAGTAATTTTACGTAAGTTCAACTTATTAAAGCTTCATTTTTAAATTCATGCAATTAATTATACATAAATATAATCAAACACATGACAAACTTCCATTTTAAATATAAAAAAATTAACATATAATTAAGATAATCGTTGAATGCTTATAGAATGTTTAATTATTATATTTATAAAAAGTTATATTATTAAACCAAATATAAATTACTTTGTTATTAAATTTAAATTAAATTATAATAAATAATTGAATTAAATGATAACTATTGTGCGAGTATCTTTCTAGTTTTATATATATATATATATATATATGTCAAATCAAATGAGAACTGATTAGTTTGTGGTAACTGTGAGATTCAATCTCAACCACAAATCAACGGATAAATTAGAAARTTAATAATTATGGTAGTTTGAGTTAAAATTATAATTAGAGGATATTTTAGGTATTTTTAAGAAACTCCTCTCTCATCTCTCCGACCTCCAATCTCCGGCCTCCGGTGAAAATTAATTCGACGAGTACCAAGTAATCACAAAGATACACAATGTGATACCCATTGTGATATATTGTGATATCAACTCAAACCTTAAAAACAAAGATGCACAATATGATACTCATTGTAATACACAATGTGATACCCATTGTGATATAATGTGATACTGATTTCACCGGAGGCCGGAGATTGGAGGTCGGAGAGATGATAGAGAGAGAGAGAGAAGTTTTAAAAAAAATATCTAATATGCCCTCTAATTATAATTTTAACTCAAACTACCATAATTATTAATTTTCTAATTTATTCGTTGATTTGTGGTTGAGATTGGATCTCACAGTTACCACAAACTAATCAGTTCTCATTTGATTAGACTCATATATATATATATATATATATATATATATAATCTTTTCCATAATTGGTATCTAAATTTTTAGATCTGTCTTTTATGAAAATATGTTTACACAATCATTATATATTAAACAGAATTGGTGATTTTATTTATGAAAACCAATTAATTGAGTTCTTTATGAAAATAAAGATTTATTTATTATTGTTTAAATATTTATGAATGATTATCAAACTTCATTTATTATTATAAACGTTTAATATTAAAAAAAACAATTAAGATATTTATTAATCGTAATATGGATCGTGAACAGAATCATCGTCCGTAACTCATGTTTCTACCTTTGTTTCCATAGCCTTGATATTTAGGCATATGTTATTTAAATCCATAACATTCTGATCAGTATAAATCCATCTTTTTTCGGTTTGAGAAGGTCATTGATTTAATTAGTAAACCCCATCGATCTCGTATAAATCACAACTGCTCTAAAATGCTCGATCTCGTGCCGAATGCAAAACAAGTCAAGTAAACAATCAATCTATTCAGGTACGATAATTTACAAAGAGCATAAACAAATTTCACACAACACAAAAAGGAAACCGATCCGTAAAAGCTGGTTAAAAGAAACTGTTGTATTGGCTCGTAAGAGAATCCTTGAGGTTTTTGTAGAGACCGAACAACGAGTATTGACGGAGATTTTTTACCTCGTACCATGAGTTGAAAACAGATTCATGCTTATCAGTTCCGGAAAACGCGAGTTGTATTCCGACACTACAATCGACGTTTCCCCCTCGGTTCTTGCAGGTATTAGTCCTCATCGCGCAGTCCTGATTGTTGAGGCACACAAAGTTGCTTTTGCCTGAACACGAAGAACAACTGTCTCTTTTCCAGTATAAGTTCTGTAGCCTGCCCTTTTGGAATTCCAGCACCTGTAATCAAAAGTTACCACCATCTTCGTCATTCACATTGTTCCCTTATCATGGTTTTAGAAATCATTTGAGGCGTAGGCCTTGAAAGGCGCCTCGAGGCGAGGTGGCCTAAAACCGCACCTGAGGCAAGAGGCGGTGTCAAGGCATACGCCTCAGGTGATCTGCTTTAGTAATTGTCTTTTTGGCGGCTTTATAGCAATAGTAGTACTTCTCTTTATAGTATAAGGGGTCGTGTACCAAACGTTTACTCGGGTAAGTGCTTACCGACAAAATTCAACACTAAGCCGTTTACCAAACTCTTATTTGGGTAAGAGCTTACCGACTCATATTGCCTTACCGGATGAATGCAATAAGGACCAAGAATCTATACCTGGTAAGAGCAAGGCAAGGAAAAGAGTGTTATCCGGTAAGTGAGGACGATTGACTCTTAACATGGTAAGCGCTTACCAGGTAAATTGTTGCATACAATGTCGTTTTCGTGAACTAAAATCTTATCAGGTAAGTAAATGATAATGTTGAATATTACCGGTAAGCGCTTACCGGTTAAGTGTTTGGTAAACGGCCCCTAACACTTACTTATCAAGTAATATTTTTGTCCACCAAAAACGATAGCATATACAACAACTTACCTGGTAAGCGCTAACCATGGTAGGAGTCGTCGCCACCACTTACCTGGTAAGACTTTTGGTCCTTGCCTCGCTCTTACTGGGTGAGATTCTTGGTCCTTACCATATTCATCCGGTAAGGTAACGTGATTTGGAAAGTGCTTACCCGGGTAAGCGTTTGGTAAACGATACCTAAAAGTTAAAAGCCCAATGGCCCGCATAAAAAAGTGTGGTTTGACCCTTCTTACTCCAAGCAACCAAATTTTCCGCACCCTCTCAGCCTATCTCAAGTTTTCACTATTTCCTCTGTCAAGAAGCACTGAACCAGCACCCTTAGTAATTTAGTATTATATAATATATATATATATACACACACATATACACATTTGGGGTGTATATATTTACGCCTTGCCTCGTTGAAAGAAAACACCTTGAAGCCCGATTCCGCCTTTTAAAAACTTGTCCCTTATAACCAGTGTTCAAAAAGGCGTATTATGGCGCGATATGGCACAAGACGCATCTCCGCCATTACGAAATGGCCCATAGCGTTTCTGTAAAAAATGGCTCCATGGCGTCTTGAGGTGCGCCATGGTGCCTGTTTTTGGTAATACGTGATCTTTTTCCAAAAAAAAAAAACATTTTTCTTTATTTTTTTCCTTTTTACACTTTTTAACTTTGGATTTTACACTTTTATAAATTTAACTAATCACATCACTCACAGTTTCACAAATTCATAAACGTTACAAATTCACGATTAAAATGAAATTATAAAATTACCTTTCTAAGTTCTAAATTTTAAATATTTAATTGAAAACTTATTTCTATGATAATAATCTATATGATTTTTCTTCTAATATAATTGTACATTTTTTTAATATCATTATCCGATTAGATAATATATAGAAAACATATATCTATATATATAATTCTATATATGACATTCAAATTTGTCGCCTTATGTCACGCCTTAAAACGCCACGTCCTTGCCATGGTGTGTAAGGCTTAAGGCTTGACCTCGCCGCCACGCCACGCCACACCTCACGCCTTTTTGAACCTTGCTTATACGCATTTGGCATGCCCGTATTGGACAGGACTAGACGAGCAAGAGTGAGGTAGGTAGATGAAAAAATTGTAAAAGGATTTAAGGTTTTAATTTGACATGGCTAGTTTAGTAATTTACTAATCTTGCTTCATCGTAGTTTTCGTTCCACCTATTTTGGTGGGACAAGATCTATGCATTTTTATTCCGCTTAGGCCTTTCATGTCCTGATCTATGTTGCGTTAAACATGGGACAACGAGTTTTTGTTTTGTTTTGTTTCGTCTCGTCCTGTGTTAACCTACACACTCTTAAATCTGAATAAGATAGGACTAGGGGGTGACATCCGATGAAACTATGACACCTAATTGGTAGTATTTTATATTGAGCTACTTTCAGGATCGAAAATGTCTTTTTGTACTAAAACGTCTGTGATGTGTCATGATTTCATTGGGTTTCAGAGGGAGGTAGTTGATATGATCTTACCAATGTGAAACTGGTGACGATATATGTGCTGTTTGCAACAAAAGCAGGGATCGATCTTGCAGCATACTTTCTACCAGCAAATGCCACCATATACCCACCAACAGAATCCTGTCAACAAGTCCAAAGCAAGATATTGTCATAATCAACCGTCTCACGATAATTGCAACAATTTTCTTTTATAAACAAGTTATTTGATCTCGAGTTTGAACCCATAAACAAGCTTATAAAGCTTGAATTTTGGGTCATAATGTGTACTAAACGAGAATCGAGCTCGAGTTCGAACATTGATATAATATTCGAGCTTGAGCACTATTTAAAAAAAAATCAATCACAATAACCTAGTAACCAAACCATGTCCTCTAACAAACACCTCCAAGCCTTAAGCTTGCCACTGACCCATTGCCTTTAACTACTTTTATTTTCTTCAATCTTCACAAACACTATTTACATCGAACAACCGGACTTTAAATAAATGGTCGACATTTTGAACGGCATTGCCTTTAACTACTTTTATTTTCTTCAATCCTCACAAACACTATTTATATCGAACAACCGGACTTTAAATAAATGGTCGACATTTTGAACTACCGTACTTGGAATTTCATCATAGACCAACCATCCTACTTGCCAGTATGCAAAAAAGAACACTTGTGCTAGAAATAGTGATTTTGGATCAATTTTACCATGCATCAAAAGATTCCACTCTAGTTGCTCATGTGGCCAAAAAAGGATGAGGGCTCAACATCTCAAACCATCATATCATCACAAACCAACCATCTAGTTATGAAGATGCAAAATAGACACATTCAACTTTACCAGAAATGGTGATTTTGGGCAACTTTGTATCAGCAGATAATAATTTAACTTTAACTGCTGATGTGACAAAACATTTAACCCAAATCATACCTGTGACAATGTACTAAATGTTATATGACCAACTCATCTCTTTCTATATCCAACTTCTCTATTGATTAGCAAAACTTAGAAGTTTCCTCATTTTGAGCCTCCACCGCAAAACTGAAGCTGACAAGGGACGGGACAAGATGTCCATCGTGGTGCTTGAATTCCAATAAATGTAGAATCTATCGTCAATTTGATGGTCTTAAAGCATAACTAGAATCTCTATGTTCAATTTTCCAATAGTACCCCTTACTAGCTTCAATTGCATGATGGAGATTAAGAATTGGAGCAATCCCTAATTTATGTATAGTCAACAGTGCAGCAAGAGATAGAGGATGATCAGTTGATGCCATAAGTGCATTTTGGTACTTTACTATGGGTAGACTGATGGTAGATGCAATTTCACCTATTTTTGGCGACATCGACAGAAACCCCAAGTAAAAAATCATCCAAATCATTATTTCTAGCAACATTTACTGCTTTTCTGAACTTTAGCAACGACGATGGCTGGCTAGCAACAATGATCCAACTACAATGGTTTAAAATATTGATCACTCCTTTTCCTTCTGTCTAATGTGCAACCATAGTTAGATCATTTAACCCGTTAAAGATGATGTCCAAGTCACTATTTCTTTCTAGCAACATTCGGTTATGTTATGCATTTTCACAAGAAAATGATTGGTTTGCAAAGAAAAGCCAAGTATGAACGTTTAAAATGTTGATCACCCAGTCATATGCAAACACCTATCATTACTCATTAGTCACATGAAATGGATCATGAAGCTCTCTTAAAGTCTGCTAGATCTCTTCGACAAATTACTTGTCAAAGAAAGCCATGTACATTTATCCAACTCTAACTTTTACGCAAGTCTCGGTATTCATCCATATTGCAACTTATATTCTTTAGATCTCCCAGTTTCCAGTCCCTTATCTGGGTTAACCACCTATGAACCAAACCAAACCAAACCAAACACAAAACCAAAACCAATTTGCTTCTATTCCTTTCAAGAGTTGGTACCAAGAGTAACAAGCAAGCAGAAACAGATGCAGAACAATGTTGTGGGCCTGTTTTATCTTTTATAGTCTTTTATAAAACGTCAGCAATCAAATAAGACAAGATGTTCATCATTTCAGGAGTTACTTTTAAGGCAGGGCAAGAAAAAATTGTAGAAACCAAGCAAGTTAGCCATTTCTGCTTAGTGATACCTATCAATGATGGTGAGTAATGATCAGTAGATGCTTAATATGAATTACTACCACCCTAGGTCTCACTTTTATGTGATGATGTCATAAATCATATGAAGAGAAACAAAAAACATCAAATAGTTGTGCAGAATTGTTCTCAAGTTTCCTCAAAGGGCCACGTGACTTGGACGAATTACCCTCTCCCCCTAAATAATGTGTCATCTAGAGCACATTGTTCTCATCAATTGAACAGGCCAATTACAGATCCAATATCAATCTATTTACACAAAATTATCATAATGAAATAAACAAAAGTGAGAAATTACCGGCGAAAAGCTACTGCTGTTGACTGTAAGGAGAGAGATCTCATCCACCTTAGGGCGAAAAACAGAGAGCTGCGAGTTCGAAGAAGACAGAGATAGCCTCCTATCGCAAGGTGACAATTGGACCGAGCTGTTGAAGAAAAACGCAGTCCTTGCCGCAAAAGCGATTCCGAAGGTGAAACCGTCCGACTCCTGTACAGTGGTATCAGCGCACGGCGAGAAGACGTGGTTGTTGTCGCTGCTCGATTCGACCAAATACGGCGTCGTGGAGAGGAATGTTACGGCGGCGATGAGTAGAATCGAAGTAACCGGAATCGCCATAGCCACAGCGAATATGGTTTAACGTCTAACGATGTTGACTCTCTCGTTTTGAACGTTTTGTGCTTTTGAAGCTTCGGGTAAATTCATGCCGTTAGATCTTTAGCCTAACGATCGTCCATTGGAATACAGCGAAGCTGTTATGCGTTGGAATCTATGGCGGTTAAACGCCGTCGTTTCGTTAATTTTCATTTTCAGTATAAAATTTAGAGTGAATTACATAGTTAGTCCCTATGCTTTGGCTGATTTTAAATTTGGATCTCTAAAATTCATTAATTACATCAGTAGTCTTTATTTTGCGTATTAGAGCCCAAGATTGTCCCTCGAGTTAGCATTGTTAGCTTAGTGTTTATTAAGTCGATCACGTGCCCATCAAGTTCATTGTTATATTACTTATCGAATAAGCATTTAAGGAGATAAATAGAAGTTCAAAGAAATTGTCCAATTTTGGACGATGCGAGTCTCCAATCGTGCCTAATTAGCTAATCCCCTCCAACAGTTGCTAAACGGATATATGTTGTCTTAAAGCATCAAGTCCGTAAAGTGGTAAACCTTGACTTTATGATATCGTTTGATAATATGTAAAACCCACTTAAAATAGTCTTAAAAATAACCCTTAAAATGGAATATGTAAATTAAAAAAAAAAAATAGTTTCTTGTTTAAATCATAAATACAATATAATGAGACACTGTTTTATCGTATACTTAAAATTTTTAAAAAAATATATAAGTATTAAAGAGATGTGTTTTATGATATCACACTCTTCTAAGATGCCAAGAAACATGAGGTTAAGCATGAAAAGAAGATAAATTTATTATTTAATAAAATGGTTGAAGCTTTAAAGATTTTATATTATGCAGAAACACAATGAAAAGGAAAATGGTTATGGCCATGGAAGAGAGTGCGACCACGCGTGTAAAAAGTAGCCCAAATCGAAAGATGCCTCGACAGAGATTTTTACACGCTTATCAAAAGTTTATGCGAACAAGTAAATAAAGTTCCAAAAGCCATACACATGCCTGGAGTAGAGCCCAGAATGTTTGCTTTTAATTCTTGCAGCTTCCCTTACCCACTGGCCGATGAACAACCAAGAATGTCTGTTCAACGCGCATAATTTCCTCGGGTATATCCTTTCCCACTTCATTTCCATGAAAACCCTCCTATTTCTTGCTTAAATTCTTGTTTTGGGGGGAATCTGAAACGAATATCATCTTTAAAATCAATGGAAGCAAGATGGGGTTTCTGTTTGAAAGCTTGTACAATCTTTAACTTTAGGTTTATGCATCTGTTTCTGTTGCTTTTGCTTTCCTTCCCGAGAACTTTCTCTTCGGTTGTTAATGTAGATAATGTGTTCGATGAAATTCCCCTTCACATACAAGATAGAGCTTCACTTCTCCTGTTCAAGTCACAGCTTCGTGACCCGACCCAGAGATTGTTATGGGTCGGGTCGAGTTGTACTAACTGGACTGGGGTTAGCTGTTCTAGATGGAATGGTCGAGTTCTTGCACTCAACCTCACTGGGTTTAACTTATCTGGCCAGCTTCATTCTAGCTTGTGTAAACTCTCTTTTCTTGAAACCCTAAATTTATCTCATAACAATCTTGATGGCTTGATTCCAGCTTGTTTTAGTTCATTTTGGAATATGAAAAATTTGGATCTTAGCCATAACTTGTTGAGTGGTGTTATTCCTAATACTCTCATGAAGTTGAGTAGGTTAAGTCAGCTTGATTTTGGCCACAATCTGTTTGATGAAATGCTTCCTTATTGGATTGGGAATTTCTCATTGAAGCTAGAGAAGCTCGAAATGGGGTATAATTCATTTCGAGGGGAGATACCAGAGCATTTGTTGCACTTAAGATCTTTGAAGTATTTGGGGTTATCTCATAATAATTTATCAGGCAATCTCCCAGATTTTGGGCAATCTTTGGAGCATCTTAATCTTGAATCGAATTCATTTTCGGGTTCGTTGCCTTGCTTGTCATCATCGGTTGAGTCACTTTCGTTACTCAATTTTGCGGAAAACTCACTTGAAGGGGGTGTTCCTACTTGCATTTCTTCGCTCCGAGCATTGGTGCATCTGAATTTGTCATTCAATCACTTGAGCTACGAGATTTCTCCAAGATTCGTGTTTTCTAACAGGCTCGTTGTCCTGGACTTGAGTTACAATAGGTTATCTGGTAATCTTCCGAGAAAGATTCTAGAATCATCGGAAAAATCAGGGCTAATGGTTTTAGACCTTTCACACAACCAGTTTTCCGGTGAAATCCCATTGGATTTTACCGAGTTAAAAAGCTTACAAGCCTTGTTTCTTTCCAACAATCTTCTTACAGGCGAAATCCCATCAAGAATCGGTAACTTGACATATCTCCAAGTGATCGATCTATCTCACAACTCTTTATCTGGTTCGATTCCGTTGAACATCGTGGGTTGTTTTCAACTACTTGCTTTGATCCTCAACAACAACAATCTATCGGGTGAAATCCAACCAGAGCTTGATGCATTGGATAGTCTAAAGATTCTTGATGTTAGCAACAACAAGATTTCCGGCGAAATCCCTTTGACTCTAGCAGGTTGTAAATCATTAGAGGTAGTAGATTTAAGCTACAACAATCTTTCGGGACCTCTAAATGATGCGTTGACCAAATGGTCAAACCTCAGATATCTTTCTCTTGCACACAACAAGTTCAATGGAGCCCTTTCCAATTGGATCTTCATGTTCGAAGCCATCCAAACGATTGATCTTTCCGGCAACAAGTTTTCCGGGTTCATTCCAGATGGTATCTTTAATGTTAGTTTGCATTTCAACAATGGTGGAGAAACTCCCAAAATGCCATTTCTTGATAGTAAGCTATCGGTGGTTATGGGTGATGATTTGCACTTGAACTACAACTTATCTTCGACAGTTACGATTGATTTATCAGATAACTTGTTACACGGTGAAATCCCAGATGGGCTTTTCGGTTTGCATGGTCTGGAGTACCTGAATCTGTCGTACAACTTTCTTGACGGTCAGATTCCCGCCAATTTGCAGTCTATGTGGAGCTTAAAGATTCTTGATTTATCGCATAACTCATTATCTGGTCAAGTCCCAGAAAAGTTATCCGGGAATTTGACACAGTTGAACCTGTCTTTTAACTATTTCTCTGGGATTGTTAACAAGACGAAAGGTTATTGGAGATTCTCAGGTGCATTTGCAGGAAACCCGAACTTATGTGTGGAGTCATCTGGTTCCGGTGGTTGTTTGACCAAAAACCTACCAGCGGAGCCAGAAAGGGTTTACGAAGAGAGAAAAGAAGACGGGCTCATCTCCGTATGGGTGTTTTCTGTAAGTGCTTGTGTAAGTTTCTATTTTGCGGGTGTCGCGCTATTTTGTTCATCTCGAACCAGGAGCTTCATGCTTCACACAATAGTTTAATGATGTTTAAACATAGATCGATAGTTTACGATTGTATAGATGATGAATGACCTAATGGATCTTACACAGTGCCATCTTTTGTCGACATTTCTGGTCTTGTTTACTGATTGTAGAGTCGAAATGAATTGGAAACCATGAAATGGGATCCTTTTTGTTATATAGATATGTGGTTTCTTTGCATTTTGTACACAGAAATGTTGTGATAGGGACCTAGAACGTTATAAAATGTAAGCCATATGGTATTTCCTGTAATTATTTTATTTTAGGGATGTACAGTGTGATTTTGGGTAAAGTACAGGGGCCGAACGTGTAATTCATTCATTTTAAAACAAACTTGTCAAAATGGAAATTAAACTTGGTTATTAAAAAAATAATTATTATTGTAATTGTATTTAAATTTAAATTTAAAAAAAGTATAAAATGATTGCAGCCAATTTCGATTTTGGAATATGGACGTTTGACAATTGCTGAATGGTTTGGTGCAGAATGATTGAGTGGTCAGAATGATTAAAAGACTCTCATGATATAGTGTAAAATAAAATATAATTATTCGGTAATTGTTTACAATGTAATTAGGGCATTGAATGGTTAAAGAAGACTCATGGTACAGAATCATTCAGAAAGTTTTAGAACCATTAAAAACATATTTTTTTGTAAAACAAAATTCACATATTAACGATTCAAAAGCTGCATCTTAATAGAACTATTAAAAGGTATATAAACAACTCCTTAGTCGATTATAATTGTTTGGTAGTGGCTTAATGATATAAAAAATAGTCTTATTCAATGAACTTTTAAGGCTAGCTTTATGGAGAAAGTGAAATTCTTTTTCTGAACTTGTCACTTTTATTAAAAAAAATATACTCCTTCCATTTAAGAAATTTTTTCCTAAACAAAAAAATTTCAATTTTACAGACAAATTTTAATATGTACAGACAATTTTATTCATACAATATTGGAAAACCAACCTAATAGTCCCTAAGATATCCAATGAAGATGAGGTTTTATTTATTTATTTTAACATCGATAAACTGTTTGAGATCGATTATATATTTGCTTTAATTTTCTATTTTAGAAACCGGAATTTAACCATTAGATTTTTGAATAATATGATTGAAAGTTAATTCCATTTTTTGGAAATTGAGTTATTTTTTTAATTATTGATAGCTTTTTAAAATAAAATAAAATACAATATTAGTACAATTTGTATTTAAAAACTATAATAGTTATTAAAGCGGGAATATTATTGTTTTGGACCTTGTTCAGAAAAAAAATAATGACTTATTATTGAATCACTTCATTTGTGGCTTGATGTGACCCCTCGAACAAATTCATATTCAACGAATGCGTCTCTACCAACCAAAAAACAAGACGTTGGTATCAAAGGGTATTTGGCCTAACAATATGTAAGTTATTGGCCTTTTAAAAGGTCAAGGGTTTAAACCTCACAAAATATAATTAGGGTGTGTAAGTTTATTTGTTTTATTTCATAGTATATAGATATTATATACTTAAAAAAACGTTCGTATATCATGATATCTTTTCTTTAGAATAATATATTCAAATAGTATCAAGCAGTAATGATTGACGTAACTCTAACGAATCTGCCTCTTCGATTGCCATTTTTAATCTAGTACAAAATTTTCAAACGCCAATATAATAAACTTTAAGTAATTGTGTTAATCGTAATCTATAAATATACAAGAGATAAAAATAACTGGTTCATTTACAAATTTATAATATAATAAAAAATATAACGTTATATTGGTTGTTACTGTATTATAAAGTAAAATATATAAAAGCCCTTTTAATATTAAATATATTTATTTAATCATCTTAATGTTTTATCATCTATGAAATATAATAATTGTATAAAAAATATTTGAGAAATATAAAAGTAGGATTTTCCATAACATTTTTAGAGGTCGTTTATCAAACACTTATTTGGGTGAGCATGTATCAAGTCACATTTACCTTACCGGATGAATATGATAAGGACCAAAAATCTTACCCGCTAAAAGTGAAGGCAAGGATCGAGAGTTTTACCCGACAAGTGAAGGCGACGACTCTTACCACAATTAACAATTATCGGGTAAATTGTTACATACGGTACCGTATTAGTGGACTAAAACCTTACCTAATAAATAAGTGATAATGTAAAATTTTACCGGTAATCTTTTAACCAGTAAATGTTTGGTAAATAGTCCCTTACACACCCACAACCATTTTCATAAATAATTACAATGGCCAATAACTCAATGTAACACCTTTTGTAAATAGAGTTTAGAACTTTTGTATGTTTTACTATTTATATTTTTATACGGTATTATATGGTTCGGTTTGCTGTTTTAAATCATGATTTAAATTGTATCACATCAAAATTTACCTTTACTATGTATATACGTCCCTGTATTAATTTTTTAGTTTGTTTTAAATCATATAATTATTTGGATTAAGGGCATGTTTGTTAGCAGCTTAATGAGATTCAACTTATTTATTTGGTAGTAGATTAATAATATAGAAAACGGTTTATTCAGTAAACTTATATGGAATAGTTTTATGCAGAAAACCAAGTTTTTTCTAAACATGTCTCTTCCAATTAAGAAAGAGGTTCATTCCATATATGAAAACATCTTTCAAAGAAAAACCTTTTAAATCTACACAGACAGATTAATTAATATATACAACAAACAAAATTTAGGGTATATTTGGGAAAAAAAAGTAACGGGGGTGTTGTGCAATTATCTCCAACTTATCAAAAGCTGAATTTGGGCGGACAGTAAACAAACATTTCTGTTGAGTTCTTGCATTGGAGTTCAGTTTTTTATTTCAAATTTGTGCTAAAATAAGCCAGCACAACCATCTGGGTGTCTCCCAAATTTTGCCCACTGACATCATAAAGTAGTTCCGTTCCATCCCCAAATGCATCCATCTTCCTAATTCGAAACCCTTTTCGATCGAATTTCAGTAGCAATGTCAACAGTCACCAGTAGCTGTTCCTTAATCCCTCAATTCCGTACTAATGATTTACCATATTCAAGTGCTTCTAAACCCTATCGATTCAGTTCAAATCCGAAAGTATGTCGAATCAGGTATGTTAATTTGAATCTTCAATATGTGTGTGAACTTTATTGCTAATTAATCAGTGTTTTCTGTCGGCCCAGAGGTGATTTGGATTTTAGACATTTGATTTACTCCTTATGTGTGTGTGAATTAGGATTTTGTGAATTTACTAATAAGAGGATAAGTGGTTTGTGTTGTATGATGATGAGTGCAGATGTCAATCAACAAGTACGGATGAGAAGAAAAACAGGAGTAGGAATGTTTTGGATAATGCAAGCAATTTGCTGACTAATTTATTGAGTGGTGGAAGTTTAGGATCCATGCCTGTAGCTGAAGGTGCTGTGACTGATTTGTTTGGCAAACCCCTTTTCCTCTCTTTGTATGATTGGTTCATAGAGGTAGTACTCAATTTCTTCTGTTTCTATTCACATATGCATATGCACATATTCACAAACTTTTGGTTGGTACTCATACATGTGTACTCAATGAATTAGGTAACAGTAACACATAAATCATGGAGACAGAGTTTGAAACTCGATTCATTATTGTTTTTCTTATGTGCATTTGATGGCTGTTACTGATTTTTGATGTCTAAATGATGGTCTGCTGAACAGCACGGCTCGGTTTATAAACTTGCCTTTGGTCCAAAAGCATTTGTAGTTGTATCGGATCCTATTGTGGCCAGATATATTCTCCGTGAAAACGCATTTTCATATGATAAGGTATGATGCATTTCTCAGCTGTACATCAATATCGAGAAAAGGATAGTACGAACTATTATGCAGGGAGTTTATCTCATATAGGCAGCATAATGTCATGACAATCTTCGGAGAATTAGTTATTTTACAGTAAACCCAACGAACCCAGTATATCCCACCTGGAGCTGTGGTTTGGGGAGGGTAAGAGTAGTATATATAAAGAATAATTTTGCAGTACGGGTAGATAAGCACTATAGAAGTTTGTAAGATTTATGATGACCATCTTAATACCATTTCATATTTCTGTATGACATTTGATATTGCATCATGTAGGGAGTTCTTGCCGATATTCTTGAACCAATTATGGGGAAAGGACTTATACCTGCTGACTTAGAAACTTGGAAGCAAAGGAGAAGAGGTAACTTATGTTGTCGGTTACATGTTGATTTCCACTGGAGGTTCGGTCAATATGTTTTTTTTGGTAACTGTGGGTATCCGGGCCAACTTACGTGCACTGACCAATCCCTGGGAGACCATGAATGATCTGGAGTCATTGCAGGTGAACCTCCATGGACAGTTGGCCACAAGTGCTTTGGCAGTGTCTGGATTCGAACCTGGGGAAGATGAAATTCCCACTACATCCCCTGAGCCTTAACCAGTGTGCCACAACCCAAGTGTCAGTATGTTAGATAGTCACATATGTCTACACTTTTCTTCTCTTAGGGATTGTTTGTTAGCAGCTTAATGGGACTCGCAGCTTATTCGATCAGCTATACATGATTGTTGGTAGTGGCTTAATGATAGAAAGTGGCTTATTCAACAAGCTTCTAGGGGGAAGCTTTATGCGGAATGCCAAGTTTCTTCCAAACCTGCCACTCCCATTTAAAAAAACACGATTCTTCCATCTATGAAAAAACCATCCCAAGCAAATACCTTCCCGATCTATACAGGCAAATTAATCCACACAAACATATTTATCACCAAACAGGACTTGATGAAAAACCTACCAAACAACCCTTAGGCTTTGCTATGAGATGGTAATATGCTTAAGGTTGATGTGTGGTAATAATATGTGTTGATTTTTAACTTTGTCACAGTTATAGCCCCTGGGTTCCACACCTTATATTTGGAAGCCATGGTGAAAATGTTTGCCAAGTGTTCTCAAAGATCAATATCGAAACTTGAGAAGCTTCTAGAAACAAAAATCTTGCAAGGAGGGCAGGAAATTGAGTTGGATCTTGAAGCAGAATTCTCAAATTTGGCACTTGACATAATTGGTCTTGGTGTTTTCAATTATGACTTTGGTTCGGTCACAAAAGAATCGCCTGTCATTAAGGTCAAGTCCTATGATTACATGATGTTAACTTCTTTTCCCCGACCGTTGTTTATCCTGTAAAAGAGATGATCAAAGCTGGTTTATATCCCGCTTTTTTCAGGCAGTATATGGTACCCTTTTTGAAGCTGAGCATCGGTCTACTTTCTACATTCCTTACTGGAAATTTCCCCCGGCTAGATGGCTGGTTCCCAGACAAAGGAAGTTTGCAAGCGACCTCAAGATTATCAACGATTGTCTTGATGGTCTCATAAAAAATGCAAAAGAGACGAGACAGGTGAGTGATCAACAAAACCAAAGAATGAATCTTTAAAAAAAACTTATTTATACAGTTCTATGAATGTGTTCTTTTATTCCCTAAGGTTGCGTTTGGTACACTAGATAGGACAAAATAGAACAGGGCTCATTGTTCCACGTTTGGTAGGACTTTTATGGGGAACAGAATGGAACATGTGTGTTCCACCCCCATCCCATAGAATAAGGTGGAGCATACCTATATTTTACCAATATAACCTTAAAATAAAACCTAATTCTCTTCAAAAACATCAAATATGCCTTCCTCTTTACATTTATTCATTCTCTAAATTTTATTTAGGGAAAAGTTCAAATAAACCCAACAAAATTTTTCATTTTGAATGGTTTAGTCCCTAAACTATTTTTTTGAATGAAAAAACCATTAAACCTTTTCTTTTTGAATGAAAAAACCATTAAACTTTTTCATTTTGATTGATCAAGTCCGTGAACATTTTTCTAGTAAATAAACTATCGCACTTTTTAAAATTTGTTACCTACATCCTTTTAACTCAAAAAAGTTACATTAACCGACTAGTAAAAGTTCGATGGTTTATTTATTTCTTAAAAAAAATTCAGGGTCTTTATTATTCAAAATGTGAAAGTTTAATGGTTTTTTCATTCAAAAAATAGTTCAGGGACTTAATCATTCAAAATGAGAAAGTTTAGTGGTTTTTTCATTCAAAAAATAGTTTAGGGACTAAATCATTCAAAATGAGAAAGTTTGTTGAGTTTTTTTGTACTTTTCTCTTTTATTTATTGTATTCTACGCTCTTTAAACTTTCATTTTACTGTTTTCAAAATATTCTTTTTATACGGTTTATATATTTTGGTTAATTTATGTAATTCATTAAATCTTAATAATAAAATAATATAGAAAATGTATAAAATAAATTTTGGAAACTACATAAACTTTTTATTTTGGTGTCACTTTAATCGTCTTGACAAAAACTTCTAATGATATATTTTGTTATAAAAATATTTATTTTATTATAATTTAATAAATTACATAAATTAAACAAAGTATATAAAAGATATAAACAACTCATTAGGGGTATTGGTCATTTTATTTGTTCAGTCATGTCCAGTTCTGTCTTACCAATCGCTGAACTATTCTGTCCTCCTTGTCTGGATACCAAACGCACCTTTAAGGGGTAACTCAACTGGTAAGACCTTCAGTTTGCTCCCCAAAGAACTCACCGGTTCAAGTCTCGTTAGGAATACTGTCCGCTAACTTCAGGTCCCATGGGATAAGTTGGCCTGGACATCCATGGTTGCCAAACAAAAAGTTTATATCGGGTGTATCTTATAATCTGACATCGCTGCCCAATTAGTTATCAACGTTTTGTAGTATTGTTATTTAAAAATGTGAAAATGTTCATTGGCAGGAAACGGATGTCGAGAAACTGCAGGAAAGGGACTACTCAAATCTCAAGGTATGTTAATATGTTCCATCGTGGAATCGATGATCCTTTAAATCTATTTGTTTTTCGCGATGATCCTTTAAATCTGTTTGTTTCGTTACCTTATGCTTGTAAGTTATTTCAGGATGCGAGTCTACTGCGTTTCTTGGTGGACATGAGGGGAGTTGATGTTGATGATCGGCAAGTATGTCCGTCCACCCTTTCTTTAAATTAGAATCTAATTATCTGCAATTTGAATTAATGCCCGCAAAATATTGGTATTGTATTTGTTCATTTGTGTAACATTTTTAAATTTTTACGGAACAGCTAAGAGATGACCTGATGACGATGCTTATTGCTGGCCATGAAACAACCGCTGCTGTTCTTACTTGGGCTGTCTTCCTTCTGGCTCAAGTATGAAACACCAACATATATTCTGATATTGATCTAACTTTGATGCTTTCAATCTCCAAAAATAGAAATCTTGAGGGTCAACTCAACTGGCAAAGTCCTGCCAGTTGAGGGTGGAATATGCTTGTTCACTTTGTTCGTGTCTGTTCCACATAAAAGTCCTGCCAAACACAGTGATCCATGTTTTGTTCTGTCTAGTGTACCAAACGCACCTTTAGAGATATGTTTGTGGCCGAAGCTACTGTCTGATGGGCCAACATTCTGCAGCGTCCCGAAAAAATGAAGAAGGCACAGGTTGAAGTCGATGCAGTGGTCTCACAGGGTGGTATAACTTTGGAGTCGCTTAAAAACCTAGAGTACGTTACAAATTGTCCGAATCATAAGACTTGTTAACATATTGGTAGATCGATCTATTGATTTCTATTGGTCTACTTTCTGTAGATACGTTAGACTCATAATTTCTGAGAGTCTACGTTTGTATCCTCAGCCTCCGTTGCTCATCAGGCGTTCTCTAAAATCAGATCGATTGCCAGGTAATATCCAGTCTCGATACAATAACAAGTTTCCTAATTCTTTAAGTAGCTAATTGAATTTAACAGGAGGGTATAAGGGTGATAAAGAGGGATATCAAATTCCTGTTGGGACGGATATCTTTATTTCGGTAAGTAATCAACTGTCAGTTACTCTGCCATTTCTAGATTGTTTATGTTGTTACTTTAATGATTTGTAAGATCTTGTTAACGTTTGAAACAGACATATAATCTCCATAGATCCCCATACTACTGGGAGAAACCCAATGAATTTGAACCCGAGAGGTTTCTAGTTCAAAAAGATAACAACGGAATTGAAGGGTGGGCTGGTTTTGATCCATCTCGAAGCCCTGGAGCTCTATACCCGAATGAGGTTTATACAATGCAGCCCTTCATCTATATCGATCGAGTTTATATGTATATATATAGGGTCGTGTTCATGGGGAAATCACAAAAAAGAAAAAACCGAGCAACACCCTAATAACCGTTCATCTATACGGTATGCACATGTGCATACAAGTAATTTTTCCAGTTATGCACATGTGCATAGAAACCATGAAATATCTTCAATTACTTATATGTACATGTGCATACCGTACAGATGAATGGTTATCAGGGTGTTAATGAGAATCTAACAAGTGGGGTTGGTGGTTTTCAGGGTGTATCAGACTTTGCATTCTTGCCATTTGGTGGAGGACCAAGAAGATGTGTAGGAGACCAATTTGCACTAATGGAATCAACCATAGGATTAGCCATGTTATTACACAAGTTTGATGTGGAGCTGAAAGGATCTCCAGAATCTGTGGAACTTGTCACAGGAGCAACCATTCATACAAAGAATGGACTTTTCTGCAAATTAAAGAAGAGATCTCACATTCATTAACATACACATCAAACTATTTCTCTCTCTCTCTCTCTATATATATATATATCTTGTAGAATTGACATTGTAAAAGAGGACTCATTATTCAAAAGTCTAGTCATCTTCTTCTAGAAGAGTTGATCTTGGCTTGATAATGTTATTTACCTAACTATGCATTTGGTCCAAAATGGCACCAATCTTGACACGTGGCAAGAGTTTTAGGGGGTGTTTGGTTGGTTTTTCGTTAAGTTGTGTATGAATAAAGTTGTCCATGTAAATTAATATATTTATATAAATTGAAAAGATTTTTGTTTTGGGATGTTTTTTTTAGTAGACGAAAGAAACGTTTTTTTAATTGGGACCAACAGTTTTAGAAAAAACATTGATTTCAGCATAAAATTCAACCTTAAAAGCTTAATAAATAAGTCATTTTCTATATCATTAATCAACTTCAAAACAATCATATAAACGACTGAATAAGACGTGAGTCTCGTTAAACTGCTAATAAACAAAATCATAGCTCTTTAATGGGCTCGGAAAATGCTTAGAAACCTGTCATGGATGAATTTAGATGCTTCTAATTTTATTATGGTAACAAAATATAGATACAACCCAATCAAGAATCTGAATTTTAAACAAATAACCAAAAAAATATAAGAACCCATCTGCCCTTAAATTACAATAATACCCCTCAACATGTGAACACCAAATCAAACTAAAACACATCAATATGAACAAAAAACATTGGAAAACCAATAACATACCAAGGGTACAAATTCTGATGCGCAGAGTACAACCACCACCTTCTTACTTCCAAGGTCTAATGGACAAGACGATAATGGCGATGATGATGAGCAACAGAAGGATCGCAAAACAAGTCCACTTTCTGGTGTTCTTCTGTTTCTTCCTTGCTTCAACTAACTGGTTGGTTCCACGGGTGACGTACGAGTTTGCCCTGTTCACATGGCTCTCGATATCATCAAGCTGCTCTCCTTGATGCTCCACCAACACCGCCATATCCATGAAAACTTGGTGCAGTTCCTTGAGGTTTCTCTCGATCACCGTCACGGCGTCATGCCGTTCCTGAATTTCAAGTACTGTTTCCATCACCTGACCTCGTCCTTGCTCCTGAATCGCTTTCTGTAAAAAAGTCTCGCTTTGTCCGGTGGAGATTAGATTATCCACCGTTGCTTCATCCGGATTTTCACCGGTGACGGTGTAGTATCGTCGCTGGACGGTCTCCCGGTGTTCGACGGACATTTTCTGACGGAGTTCGTTGAATGATTTCATCGAGGATTGGAGTTGTTTACGAAGGCCGTTGACGACGGAGGTTCGTGTACGGTCGGTGGAGCTCCCCGGGCCGCAGCCAGGGAGATTCCGGTTGTTTGCATTGGAGCGATCTAGGGCTTCGAGATTGTTCTTGATGAGTTTGGCCTTTTTAAGAGACATGGCGACATCGTTGTCCATTTTAGTTCTTAGGGTTTTGATGGAATTAGCGCTGTGTAGGGTTTTGCTTTGTTCGTTTGACGATTGGAGTTGATCGTGAAGTAACTCAAGAGCTTTGAGTTCTTCTTTAATTGCCTCCACATCTTTGAAGAACTTGTCGAGGTTGGTTCCATCGCCGTCTGTTGCGTTCCCCATCTCGATATCGCCGTTCCGGCCGCCGGAAAAGGAGCGGGAAAGGAGATCGTTCATGTTGAATTTGGATTTTTTTTTTTCACAAGAAAGAAGGTGAATCTGATGGAGAAAAATTGAAATTGAAGAATTGGGAGAGGATTAGAGAGATTCTTGTAGGGATTAGGGATGAAAAACGCGGAGGAATTTTGACTTTTCCATGGCGGATGGCTGCTTCTGGTAGACTAGACGTAGTCGTTGGGTGATGGCGGTCTGCCAAGAAACTTCGGTATACATGGATATCAGATTTTAACTTGAGTAAAATTACGTTTTTAGTCCCTCTGAAAATTCTATTATGCATTTGAAATTACAATCGTCTCAGTTTGGTCCCATGGATGAAGATAGAAATGAATTGCAGACCGGTAGAAATAAAAACCGATATTTTAAAACTACAAGGACGAAATCTGTAGTTTTTAACAAACCATGGGGATGAAAAAAGTAATTTATTCTTTTAATTAAAAGCTAATAATCTACGGTCATGTTAACTAAGGGTGTTCGTGGTCTGATCTGAGTTATTTAATCCCTCAAAACACAAATCAAACCGCAATGTCAGTTTAAGAATTTTTCTAAATCGAGTAATTTGATAACAAGTGATCAAACCGGTTAAACCAGACCACAAAGACAGTCTGGTCTGACTTTCGGTTTGTTCTTGAAGGATAGGTTTGGAATTACAAGACTTCAGTTTGTTCTTGAAGAAAAATTTGAAAATACAGATGGTTGAATGTATAAACATACACTTTAAAGGCTTAATTAAAACTAAAACTATCAACGTATTTATTAAGCTGTAAGCGTTCATGGCAGAACAAATACACCATCAAAACTCATTTAACAAATTAAGACAAAAACAAACATCATCTCGGTATTTGGTTTTATAAATTTTAATTTAAGTCGGTAACTTTTGTAGAGGTAGATGTTGAAAATTATATATATATATGTATTATATATTTGGGTTCATGTGAGACCAATGGAACCCTTGGATTAGATCTACAATCTGAACATTCATAATCACAATATTGCCACGAGACTTCTCAATAATCACAAAATTGTCACCGTACAACTTTAGACCATTAGATCATTAGTTTATAAAGTTGATCAATGAACATAAATTGGTCTTACGGATCTCACGAAAAAACCTTTAGTCTTACGTGAACCCAACCCTATATATATAAATAATAATTAAATAGGCATTTCCCTTTATTTATTGAGCATTTCCCTTTATTTATTGATCAGTATAGATTAGAATTATTGGTCAACCTAAGAAGGTCTTGTTGGGCAACGAGGAAAAAGAAAGAGTAAACTATAATTTGGTCCATGTGGCTTGTGGAAGATAACGCGTTCTGTCCGTACAATTTTAACATTATAAGATGGCCATCCGTCATCGTAGTTTAAAAAAAGGTTCCGATTTAGTTCTTCTTTCTGAAGATCGTTAAAAGATTATGTCAAGTAAAGGACATTTTCATTATCGTGTCAATTTTTAACCCGATCAAAATCGATTTTATGATGTTGGTTCCTGTAATTTTTTATTGTGTAAAAGACAAACTCGGTAGAAAATGAGAATTTCCTTCATAAATGGAATTTTTTAATGACTATGAAAGCAAGGGATTAAATCCAGATATTTTTAATATTATAGGGACTAAAATTGTATTTTCGACAAACAGGGAACAAATCCATAGTTTAGAGTATTTAACAAGGGTGGCAGCCGGTCCTTGTTAAGGGGGTGGCTAATGGCACCCCTATTATGTGCTAATGCCACCCCTATGTAGGTTTTAATCAATTCTGTTTTATAAATTTTTGTGTTTTTTTGTTTTTTTGTGATTATTATTTTTTATTTTATTATTAATTAAAGAAAATTTAAATTAATATATATTATTTATTTAATTTCCTGTTTTATTTATTTATATTATATTTTAATTAATATAAATTATTAATAAATATATATTATT